TGTTTCGTTCTGCTGTGCATGGGGTCGCTATGAGTCGGTTCCGACTCGATGGTATCTGACAACAACAAATGATAAAAGAAAATCAACCACCAAACAAAATATTTATACTCAGGTCCACCCTTTACACTGCTAGCACACCCCACGTGAATCAAACACACAGGCAGTTTCCATACTAGCAAAATACTTTTATTATTTTTATAATGATAAAACAAGGAAAGTAGAGATTTCTTTTTGGTGTATACCAGAGTTAAGGGAAATAGAAGAATAAGGGGATTAATAGGATTTTTATGTACTTTGATGACAATAAAAAGTTAACAATACCGACTGTTGCCATAAAACTTATCATACATAGCTCCCCAAAAACACATATATAAAGGATCATAGTTTTAAAATCTATAAAAGTAAAAAATATACAGTCAGATCTAACTCTTATTCCATCTTTAATATAAAATTGTAAACATTTATTTACACAAAGCAAATGTGTATAACAAAAGTCCGAGCACCCTTTTCATTAGAGTTCTGGCCCTGGGAAGATGAGGCTCTGCACAGTTGCTTCTCCCAACTACTCAGAAACCAGACTCATAAATAAAGCCACGGGCAGCTCCCTGGGAAGACCCCAAGAATCACATTTTATTGCTATGACACTGCAGCAAGTAAGAACCCCAACCTCCTGTCTCCTCAGCCCCAGGAATCGGGCAGGGAGTGCCCCAGGGACAGAGGTAGGCAGCAGCCAGAAGGAGACCAAGAGAGGAGAGGATTCAGAACCAGCCTCAGGCCCTGCTATTTTTGGTAGAAGACATGGATGAAGTCACCCTTTTCTCCTTAGATTGGGGAACTCACTCTGAGGGTGGAGTCTTCACTGGCTTTATGACTCATTCCCTTCTTTGAAAGCTAAATTCAGCATCTGGGAAAGGCTTGGAGGGTGTTTACAGGGGAAATGGTCCAAACACCACCTGTGGTGGCAAATGGCTATTAGAAAAGAGAATATGAGGGTCCAAGTACCAGTGAAAAAAGGCACTGCTGGTGCAAAATAATTACCAATGTGTGTACAGCCCTCCATTCCCACAAAGAGGCTCAGGCTGTTCATGTGAGTGTTTTCCTTGGTTCTATTTCTATACATGATTCTTGACGGATCTGCTTTGAGACTTCAGGGAAATAAAACGGGGGTTGAGATTTCTCCAGACCACTCTGCATATAAGCCACTCTTTTCAGTGTATTATTTTATCTCCTACACTCTGCTTGAAAAGGTCTCACCCTGTGCTTGCTATTTTGCTTTAATTATATGGAAGTGCTCACTCCATCTTTGTTTCCCACAAATAGCCCATCATTCATGTAATAATACTCAACACTTTGCAGATTCTTAGCTTAGTCAAGTCCATTACTTAATAGACCTTAAAAGAAAAATCCACTTTTAATCTTAAAAAAGGATACGTTAGTGTTATAAAGCAATTCTCTCTTAAAAAGTGCAAGTCATCTGATGTGGGAAGAGGCAGAAAAGAGTCATTAAAACAGTGGAATTCCTCCTCTGGGCCTGTCACACAAGCCTCCCTCCCTACCAATCAGGATAATCCTAGTTTTTGAGTCCCCAAAAATTTTCTAGAGAGGAGCAATCCCACCTCTTTACAATGCTTAGGTTGCCTAAAGAATTGTAACCACTCTTTTTTACTCCCTCCAATCTAGTAAACCATTGCCCTAAAGACATTTTCCATTTTGGCTGGAGAGAAGAAGGGGAGGCAGAAGGGCTATGGGAAATGAAAACAAGGTAAAGGAAAGACATCTGTGCACCACGAAATAATGCTCATATTCCTAACATGTTAAATATGAGTCTCCTAAGAAACTCAAGAAGGTGGGAGGTTAGAACACATAAAGATACTGCAATCCTATGTATCCAATTTCATCACTGACCCTGGAAGCAGTACTTCTTTAATTGAGGGGATTGCTTGGGGTCCTGATACCAAAGGCAGGGCAATGAAGGAACTCCTCTGGGGTTGGGGCCTCTTCAATGTCAACATGATCAACCTACTGCAAACATGAGGAGATGCTGGAGAGATCGTATCAGTGTCACAAGGTCGTGATCTCACAGCACCCTGTTCTTGCCTGACCTCTGCAGGGTAGCCTGTACTTATAGCATGAGCTTCCAGCCACCCACTCCTTGAAAGTTGACAGAAAGAAAACCCTAGGTGTCCAATGCCCTTAATTAAACCACCACCTACCCTAATCTGTTCAAAACCCTTTAAAAAACATTTAAAAAAAATTTTTTTTTCTATGCTACAAATTGCAAATAATTCTGTTATATAAAAAGTTTCAACAAAAACTTGCCCTAATACTGGGCAAGTGGCGAAAACTTCGATTAAATCAACATGATGGCACAGATTTTTTTGTCAGCCTGACACTGTGGGGTTCACTGTTGTTTCTGTTGTATTTTTGGTTATCTGGATAGAAAACCACCTTTAGAACACTCTCCTGCTGTTCCAACACCAGGTAATAAAGCCAGCAGATGGACTGGGGCCAGCCCGACATACCGCAACTGCTGGCTTGGGAGCTATGTGCCTATAGAGCCTGCCCAGAGCTGGCCCTTAGACTGGGCTCTGGCTCCACCCACCCAGCTCCCTTGTGCCATGGGCTTTTGGTCCAAAGTAGTTGTTCTTTTTTGAAACTGAGAACAAAAATATAGGTTGTATGAACACGAAGAACATCTTATATTCCCCCATTACTGGGATCCTAGGAGGTCATCCAAATCATTAATCCATTCTTCTGAAGTCCTGTTTTTCAGCAGTGAGTCGATAAGGTCAGTATCCCCAGTCATGCTGGGCAGCCCACTGCTGCCTGGCTGTCCACTGTAGGTGAAGGGTAGATCCTGGCCTGAAGTCCGCACCTGGTAGCCCTGGGCACAGTGCAGTCCCCCTCGGCCCCCCATCTGTGGGGCTGGACTCTGACTGAAGGCCCCCAGCTCAGGCATGGCCGGGCTCAGCCCTGTCAGGACTTGTGGTAGGGGTCCCTGTGGAGTTGGTGGTGCAGGCGCACTGGTCCTCTGCTGCGTGTTCACAGAGGGCAGCAAGGACCCTGCTGCAGGTGCTGAGCTCATGGGGGCCATGGGCCTGCTGGACATCGTCTGGGAGAACTGTGGGCTGGACATTTTTAGGTGGGCCTGTTGCATGTGGAAACTGGAGGCCGCAGTGAAAGGGCTTACGCTGGGACTCCCTTGGGTCTGGCCACTCAGGTTTGGCATTCCCTGATGCTGCCATGAAGGATTTTGACCTCCCATGGCTGCTGAAACCCTTGGGACCTGTGCTTTAGTTAAAGCAGAGTTCAGGGTCCCCTTACTGTGCTGCTGGGAGAGGCTAGAGTTCCCCAGAGAGTTCTGCCCATAGGCAGCTGAGATTGAGGTGTTCTGGCCCACACTGGCCTGTCTTGGAATGTGGGCATGTCCATTGGTGGCCTGTTGCGGGGGCTGGCCACCTAACTGGGTTATGCCCGAGGTCATGCCATAGAGGCTACTCTGGGATCCCGTGAACTGAGCCATACCCCGATCTGGTTGGCCTGAGCTGGAAGGCAAAGAGGAAACCGAACTGTGTCCAGGGCCCATTGGCATGAGATTCCCAGTCTGAGAAAATGCTCGAGGACAGTTGGAGTTGGAGGTACCCAAGTTATTTATGCCAGGCACAGCAGCAGAGGACCCTAGAAAAGAAAATTATGTCAACCAATCTGGCATTTCTTGACCACTGCTGCAGTGACAACCACAGGCCCTGACTCAGGGTCAATGACATACAATGAAATAAGAGCTGGGGGTGGAATAAGGCAAAACCTGAAACTAAGATGAACATAGAAGCAGGGGAGCCCTTTGGGAGGGGAGGCCAGTTGATCATTCATTCACTTTTCAAACACCAGGATTTCTCTGCTCCATGGTGGGTCTTATGCTGGCACTGGGAACTTGAAAGTGAGTCCATTTGCCATGTGGAGGCAAAATTACTATATGATATAATGAGGATTATAGCAGGATTTGCAAAAGCCATGGGAGCACCAAGGACTAGAAGGTCAATGCCCTAGAGGAGCTGGACAAAGCTTTAGTGTGATAGTGACAAGTACAATGGGTTTTAAGAGTAGATTAGTAATTAAGCATTTTGGAGAAAGAATATTGTTAGAGGAAACAGTGTGTAACTAGGCATAGTTATTTATGGAAAAGCAATTTGCATGAGGTGCTTGAAGAGCCTGGCCAGGGCTGGTATAGTGTCCAGCTGGTTAAAGATAAAGCGAGGGAGAGCTGAGGCCAGATTTGGAAGAGCTTTGGATAACAAGTTCAGTAGCATGTGACTCCTACTAAGAGGAGTCACATATATGAGATGGCATATAAAATGTGGTAGTGTGGGGATGAAGGAGGGAGAATGTGTGAAGATACTTCTCCTGATCCAATAGTATTTACCTGAGATGGACAAGATGATCCAGGCAGGAAGAATTCAAGAAAGAAGGATGGATTCACCAGACAGTTACTAAGTATCTACACTCTGTGGTGGCAGGTGCTGGTTGGGAGACGTGTGACATAGAGGGCCACTGATCTCAGGGAACTTGCTGTCTAGGGCTTCCAGCAGATACATATGACACCCTTAACTGAGATCAGGCTTTGTGGGTAGGAGAGTTCATTGTTCTGATATTGCCATTTCTCTCTACTACCCCTAAATAAACCTTGGATGGAGGAAATAGAGAAGGGTTAAAATAATCTATTTCACTCTCAGTAATACCTCACAATAATGTTAGGTGGGACTGAAAGCAGGAATCAGGGCCTAGGCACAGGCTTTTGAGCTGTCTACAGACTTCAAATGCCCATGCTCCCATATAGGACACACAAACTTCCAGCAAGTTTTATCATGGTCACACGGCTGTGGTCAGTCTCTCTGGAGCACTGGATAGCAAGGATTATTAATGAAAGCAGGAGAGAGGTTTTAAACTCTTCCAGAGGAAGAGCTAAGAGGGCAGGTAAAGATCAAGTTTTACTGCACATATCAACTTATATCTTTATTCCTTTCTGGAGCAAAAGTCTAAACAAAGCAACCCAACCTCCTCGTCATATGCAAGACTGTGGCATGCTTCTTTTTTGGGCAGCCACTCACTGCTGACGTTGCCATCTGTGACACCGCAGTGAGCACAGACAGGAAGAAAGGAACAAAGCAAAGGCCAGGTAAGCATATTAAGTTTTTCCTTATGTGGAAAACAAGAGAGGGTCATTTAAGAAAAGAACTTTCTTAAGAATTATAAAAGCCATTTCCTGCTGATAAGATGTCTTCCAACTAGAAATGATTTTGCTTCAAAAGACCTTATAGCCAAGGACCTAGCACAAGTATTTCTCCTGGTCCACCCCTTTGATCTTTCACCATAAGACAGTGCAGCACCTAGCACGAAGTTCGGCAGACAGCAGGAGTTCAGTTAGCACTAGGTGACTGGCAGCAAGCGGCAAAAGTCAGCTGCAAAGATCCAGTGCCTGTTTGCTCTGCCCCCCACTGTCCCCACTTCACTGCTTACAAATGGTTTTACCTGTGAACTGTCCAACCTGCTGTGGATAGGTGTTTTGTGTTGGATCTTGGTACTGGGGTGGTGGGCGGGTTAGATGGCGCTGAAACTGCTGCTTCTCCTAGAGAAAGCCAAAAAGAAAAACAAAGAAAGTAAGAGTTAGGTCAGAGAAAAGTAAATTGCCCAAGTATTCCTACACAAAAGTTTCTGTGGAGCTAAAGCTGATTGATTTCACTTTGGAGATTTAAAAAAATTGTGGTGAAAATATACATGACAAAACATACCCACCTCCAACAATTTCTGCATGTATAATTCAGAAATAGTGATTAAACGCTTCAAGTTGTGCCACCATTCTCACTATCCTTTTTCAATGTCCTCCTAAGTAAAACTCTTCCTCCCTCCCCTCTGGTAACTAACAATCTTTGGTTTATTTCATATGACTGAATTCATACATGTGTGTCCTCTTGCAATTGACTTACTTCATCCAGCATAATGTTTTTAAGGTTCATCCACGCGTCGGGACTTCATTTCTCTTTATGGTTGAGTAATGTTCCACTGTATGTTTGTCCGTCTTATTTATTCATTTATCTATTGATGAACATTTCAAGTGTTTTTGCCTTCTGGCTATTGCGGAAAGTCTCCAATAACCTCACTTTGGGGAGTTTAAATGAATAGCATGACACAGAAGGATGGGCCAAAGAATTTTAAAAAGGTGGATATACCAGTTTTTTTTAAAAAAATAAGAGGGCAAGATCAGGGAAATGCAAATCAAAGCCGCAATGACACAGCACTTCACACCCATGAGGAAGACTAGAATAAAAAAGATAGTAAGCGTTGGAGAGGATATGAAGAAATTAGAATTTCATATACTACTGGTAAGCATGTCAAATGGTGCAGCTACTGTGAAAGTTCCCCAAAAGGTTAAACATAAAGAGTTCCATGCTGTTTTTAAATAGTGTCAAGTTGGTTCTACTCACAGTGACCCTTATATAGAGCTTCTGAGGCTGTAAATCTCTGCAGAAGAAAGCCTCAAGCAACTCCATTCATAAGTATATAGATACCAAGAGAAATGAAAACATATACTCATACAAAAATGTGTACATGAATGTTCATAGCAGCATTAATCATAACACCCAAAAAGGAGTAACAACTCAATGATCTGTCAACTGATGAACAGACAAATTAAATGTGACATATTCATAAGATGAAATATTATCTAGCAACAAAAAGAATGAAGTCCAGATACAACACGGATGAACCTTGAAATCATATGCATGAAAGGTCTACAACAGGTTAATAAAGAGAAAGTAGATTAGTAGCTCTAGGGGATAAGGAGTTGGGAGACAATGGCATAGCAGGATATGAGTACACAGAGGGATGATAAAAATATTCTAAAACTGACTGTGGTGATGGTTGCACTTATCTATAAGTATATTAAAAATCAATAAACTATACACTTTAAATTGATAAATTATGTATGGTGAATTAGCTGTTATTTAAAACACATGTTAAAAAAAAAAAACAAAAGAAACCCACAAAAACAAACAGGCTTGGCATCTGAGGATGCTCAGAGCTCTCAGCACCCAGCCCAGCTTCTTTCAAGATGTCTACTGTTCACAAAATTCTATGCAAGTTCAGCTTGGAGGGTGATCACTCCACACACCGAAGTACATATGGGTCAGTAAAACAATATACCAACTTTGATGCTGAATGGGATGATTTGAACACTGACTCATGGATTCCTGGTGTGGTGCTGTGGGTTAACGCGCTGGACTGCACAAAGTCGACTTGAATTGCAAGGTTGGAGGTTCAAGTTCACCAACTGCTCCTTGGAAACCCTATACAGGGTTGCTATGGGTTGGAACCAACTTGACAGCATATAACAACAACAATCAAGACCAAAGGTATGGAGGAAGTTACCATTGTTAACATTTTGACCAACCACAGCAATGAACAGAGATAGAATACTGCCTTCGCCTACCAGAGAAGGAAGGAGCTCTGGTAGCATAGTGGTTACAAGTCGGGCTGCTAACCTCAAGATGAGCAGTTCAAAACTACCAGCTGTTCCACGGGAGAAAGATGAGGCTTTCTGCTCCCGTAAAGATTTATAGCCTCAGAAACCCTATGCAGAGTTACTGTGAGTCGGAACCAATTCCACGGCATACTACTACCACAACCACCACCACGAGAAAGATTAAAAGGGAACTTGCATCAGCCCTGAAGTCAGTCTTATCTGGCCATCTGGAGATGGTGGTTTGGGACCTATTGAAAACACCTGTTCAGTATGATGCTTCCAAGCCGAAAGCCTCTATGAAGGGACTTGGAAAAGACGAGGACTCCCTCATTGAGATCATCTGCTTGAGGACCAACCAGGAGCTGCAGGAAATTAACAGAGTCTACAAAGAAAGGTACAAGACTGACCTGGAGAAGGACATTGTTTCAGAAACATCTGTTGACTTCCGCAAGCTGATGGTTACCCTCACAAAGGGTAGAAGAGCAGAAGATAGTTCTATCATTGATTATGAACTGACTGACCATGATGCCCAGGATCTCTATGATGCTGGAGTGAAGAGGAAATGAATTTATGTTCCAAAGTGGATTAGCATCATGACCGAGCGCCACTTCCAGAAAGTATTTGAAAGGTACAAGAGCTACAGTCTGTATGACATGTTAGATAACACCAAGAAGAAAGTCAAAGACTTGGAAAATGCTTTCCTAAACCTGGTCCAGTGCCTCCAAAACAAGGCACTAATATTCTGTTGACCGACTGTACATCTCCATGAAGGGCAAGTGTACTTGTGGTAAGATCTTGATTAGGACCATGGTCTCCCGCAGTGAAATGGACATGTGGAAAATTAGGTCTGAATTCAAGAGAAAGTATGGCAAGTCCCTGTACAAATATATCCTAGCAAGACACCAAGGGCGACTACCAGAAAGCACTGCTGTACCTGTGTAGGTAGGCTAAAGCCTGACACAGCAGGAGCATCCAGAAATGCTGTTCCTACTGCTTCCAACTAACAGTTCCAGAAAATCAGGTTGTGATTAACAGCCCAGAACCCATCTCTCTAATGATGATGTTAGCATTGCCCCACCCTCGGCCCCTTTTATTTTAGTGGCCTATGTATTGCCTGGCTTTCCTTGAGAGTCTCTGTTTTCAGTCAAAGATATGAACATTCCAAGGAGTTGGAAGTGAAATCTATGAGGTGAAATACTTTGCTTCTTGTATACTGTGTTATAAACAGATAAGCATAATTTTTATGTTAGAAACAAGTAAAAAAAAAAAAGAACGGCAGAGCTGAGGCAGTAAGGTGGACTTTAAAAGTAGTCTTCAATCATCTTTACATACTAAGCAACAAGTTATTCTCTTAAGTCTTAATATAGTTTGAAGTCCTGAGAACGTTACCTTTAAGGTATATTGCCTTCAGGTACACTGTTAAAGACAGGAAGGGGTTTGCTGTCTTAATTCTAAAACCTGGGAACCCTTTAATGTCTCAATTTCACTTTCTCCACCACCACTCAGTTTGTTGGACTGTAGTGGTATGCGTGTTTCTGTGATGCTGGAAACTATGCTATCGGTGTATGAAATACTAGCAGGGTCACCTAGACAGGCTTCAGCTGAGCATACTGACTGAGACAGACTGGGAAGAAGATGTGGATTGCTTCTGAATGTTTAGCCACTGAAAACCTTATAAATAGCACGAAAATATTATCAGATACAGTGATGGATGATTAGCTACTCAGGTTTTAAGATACTCAAAATAAGACTGGGGTAGAAGCTGCCTCTTCAAAGCACAGTTGACCATGATGACCCAAATGGAGTAAAGCCTTCAGGATTTTCATATGCTGATGGGACACAACTCAAAATGAGGTGAAACAGTTGCAAACATCATTAAGAATCAGAGCATGGAATGTATGAAGTATGAATCTAGGAAAATTGGAAGTTGTCCAAAATGAAACTGGAATGCATAAAGAGTGATCTCCTAGGAATCAGTGAATTGAAATGAACTGGTATTGATCATTTTGAACCTGACAACCACATGGTTTACTATGCTGTGAATGACAAATTGAAGAAGAATGGTGTCACATTCATCATCAAAAAGAACACTTCAAGATCTATTTTAAAGTATAATGCTGTCTCTGATAGGATAATTTCCATATGCCTACAAGGAAGGGCTGAGTCCTGGTGTGACTGCAAGGTTGAGAGTTCAAATACACTAGCTGCTCCTTGGAAACCATGTGGAAACTATGTGTTGGAACCAACTTGAAGGCACTTAACAACAAGAAGAAGGAAGGTCAGTTATTATTAAAAATTACACACCATCAATAAAGCCAGTGATGATGAAATTGAAGAATTCTACCAACTTCTTCAGTTTGAAAATTGAGCAAACATACAATCAAGATGCACTAATAATGCAGGACCCTACCCACAGCAGCTCTGGTAGCACTGTTGTTGTTAAGTGCCGTCAAGTCGGTGCAGACCCATAGCGACCCTGTACAGGGTTTCTGAGGGTGTAAATCTTTACGGGAGTATAAAGCCTCATCTTTCTCTCGCGGAGCAGCTGGTAGTTTCAAACTGCTGACCTTAAGGTTCGCAGCCCGATTCATAACCACTACGCTACCAGAGCATTGTGGTTACGAATTGGGCTGTGAACCGCAAGCTCAGCAGTTCAAAACTACCAGCTATTCCGCGGGAGAAAGATGAGGCTTTTTGCTCCCGTAAATATCAGCCTCGGAAACCCTGTACAGGGTGGCTATGAGTCGGAACCAACTCCATGGCACTTAATTAACAACAAAACAACCCAGAAGAAACAGTGACACCAGAGATGAAGGCAGAGACAATGTGGAGACATGGAATGGTTGGGAACTCTAGACCCAGAGAGGGAGAGGGGCTGTGTGCTGATGACTGAGGGGCAGGCTTGTGGAGTACACCCTTTGGTTGGTTGATGCTGCATGGAGGGGATTATAACCATGGCAATGAAACGATATACGATAGGATGAATGTAAGCTAATGTTCTCCTATGTAAACCATCACACAATTCACAATAAAACATTAAAAAAAAAGATGCATTATAATTACTGGTAGTTGGAGTGCAAAGGTTGGAAACAAAGAAGAAGGATCAG